TTGTGTTGGGATTATATACCAGCACGTTTCTGAACCGTCCCAGAAGCGGCTCTCCAAGGCGTTTATACAGCGATCTGTCATGCCACATCAAAGACTGTCAAAACGCCATTTATTATTTGAATTTCCGGAGAAAAAAAAAAAACTGTATTCGTTCGGTTCACATGCGTACCGAACCGAAAGACCCGTACCGAAACGGTTCGGTACGAATACGTGTACCGTTACACCCCTACTGCTTACTGACGTTTTTTTTTTCTATTAACCAAATTTTGTTTGATGTAACTATTTTATTAAATTCACCTCTTATTGGGAATTTAATAAAGTCCAAAATATATTTCCAGTATGTTTTATTCATACAAATGTTGCTTTTGGCTATTTAATTAATCTAATTTTCGCCCTATCAGTCAAATTCCTGGTTCACTCCATAAGCACTTAGTATCAGTAAAAGCAAACTCAGTTTGCTGATTTTTGAAACTATTCAACAGATTCATTAAAAAGATCCGACTCGAAAAGAACGAGAGGTTCACGGATCAGCGTTCGCTGTTTGACAGCGCTGGTGTGACTGTGACAGGTCAGTCATACTTTACCTAGTCGAGGACCCTGAGCAACTGAAACAAGTCCGAATTCAGCGGTCTCGTCTCCAACACCCGCCCCCGAGCCGCCGTCCTCTCCGGGCGGGCGGTCCGGCTCTAGTCCCTGCAGGAGTTTGAGCAGAGTCTCCTGCGGGACTTTACACCCTCATCCCTTCATATCGGAGAAGGCCGTGAGTCGGAAGCCGCGGTCTAGGCCGTGCTCCTCCGGGTTCAGCGCCTGGTATCCAGCCGGGTAAAAGGCTCCCGCTCCGCCAGAGTACACTGACGCTGGCTCAGAAACTGACATGGCTAGAGTGAATTTTATTTACTCCTCATTCAGATAGTAAAACACGGGAAATGAAAGAGAAGGGTGAGTCGTTTGACGGGATAAATGGCTGACAGAAACAAGAGAGCGTGCTTTATCTGCACGCTTAGTCATAGCTGCACGCTTAGTCATAGAAACTAGTGTGGACTAGTGATGTCCGGTTCGCGAACGAATCATTCGATTTAACCTCTCTCTCCCTGCCAGCTCATTCCCGGGCCTCTTTATGCAGTCTCTCCACGCCAATTACTGGAACCAGACACAGGTGTTCGTCATTTGCATTTGACCCACTTACTCATCGCTTGTCTCCCAACTCTCTCTCCCGCTGCAGACCTCGCTGAACCACGCCCCCCTCGCCACACTGTTCATTGAAACGAACTGTCCGAAAGAACCGGTTCGCGGAAAAGAACCGGACTTCCCATCACTAGTGTGGACGCGGCGCGCTAGCGGACTGAACCATCTCACCCAGTAGAGGGGAGTTGAGAGTCACCGTATGACACTAGTTGGAGAATTCATCGCTGACAGACAGAGTACTGCCAGAATACACTCAAACCAGTAGAGAAAGTGTAGGAAAATTAATCTCGCACCAAATTTAACTACGTCTAGGATGTTTTGCATTTGACTGGTCACGCTTAAACCCCCTCAAATATAAGCATCCCACAGTCTGCTATCGTGAGCTCCGCCTATTGTGGTACTGCCATAAAGGTGCATCAGACGGTTGTATATTCATGCAAATATACTGCCAATCCCAGATACTATTTTTTTTTTTTTTTTATGCAAAAATTATACAAAGATTTGTATAAGCATATACAACTCGCAACAAGTACAAAAACAAATAAACATTCATAATGTAGCCAAGCCACTAGGAGGCGCTGTTGTACCTATGATGGTATGGGTCTTTTTTTTTTATTGAATGTTATCCGTTTTGAAGAGTGTTAACGTTTAATTTGTTGGTTATTTGTATGATTCGATTTGTGAGGTATTTAAATTAGTGCTGGCTTATGCGTCGCTGGTCAAAAGCCAGTGATTTACGATCGTGTAAACTGTATGAGATGTTAATGGTGTGTGTAATCATGTAATTGTTCTTTTAGTGATTTTTAGATGTCTTAAACTGTCATGTTGGTTATCTTGGGCTGGAGGAGTATCAGACGCTGAACGAGCAGCATAGCATACTGCACGGGAGCATTGACGATCTATGGTAGGGCGGTTTATGGTATAAAACGATGAACAGTATACCTGTGTACACACTAAGCTGACACCCTTTTATACAAGAGTGTTAAAAGAGTCATTTCTTTTCTAGGAAGTATCGCGAGCGCATTGTATTAATGTGCTTTCGCGCTACAATAATGCGCTCTCGACATTTGTCATTAAAATAACGCCATACACGGGAGCATTGACGATCTATGGTAGGGCGTTTTATGGTATAAAACGATGAACAGTATACCTGTGTACACACTAAGCTGACACCCTTTTATACAAGAGTGTTAAAAGAGTCATTTCTTTTCTAGGAAGTATATGGTGACGATTGTAGCCCTTTAATGGTGTGTGATCAGCTAAAGTCTCAAAGGTATTTATTTTAAATGTTATTGTGAGGCTAGTATACCTAGCATTTTAATATTGTTGACTAATAAATTTATAGATAGTGGTTTCTTTTTGAAATTGTAATGTTTGTTTTTCTGTTTATATTGTGTAGTTGAAATGAACTGTCCTGAGTGAGGTTGGACTGCATAACATGGGTTAACAAATTGTTTTGTTTAATGTTTTCTCTTTTTAGAGTTGTTTTGGTCCAGCTCAATTGATCACTGTTTTCCCTGCCTTGAAATTGTATTTTCTTTGTTTCTGTGAATTGTTTTTGTTTCCTTTTACTTTTTGGCCCATGACTATTGGTTATTGTTTGGTCCATTTATTTTACATGCCAATGAGGCCATTACTGGCAGCTTACTCATTGTAACTATATAGGGAGGAAGTATATTCACTATCATTCACATGTGTGCTGTGGTTTTTTTGTATTTCATGCTTTGAGGTGCTATGTATGAGAATTTACGTTAGTTTTTTTGGGGGTTTATTGTATTAATCATTTTGGTGTTAATTTCATTTTTATTTTCTTTGAGGGTGACATTATCCTCTGCTGTTATTTGTGTCTCCATCTTGCATGAGTAAACTTAGCCAGCTTGGAAGTGAAACTACTTAATTAATAACATTGAAACTGCGTCTATAGTAATTCTGTCTTAAGGATATTCTTTTATTTGAATAGCCGTGTGGGAAAACCCCTTATATGACCTGGGATCTCCTACCCAAATAAAATTGGAGTGGCGTAGTCAAGAATATAGGAGTATTTGCTCTCTGATCTACCACAATAAGAATATGTAAAGTGAAACCATTCATGCCAGGGGTAAAATTACAACAATTTAAAATAACAAAAAGCTTCATAGGTCTTTCTTGCTTTTTTGTTCTTAATTTTGTCTAATGTAGTACCATATTGTTTAATCTTTTATAAAATGTTCAAAGTTTGGCTTGGCTTAAGACCATTTTTTCACATGAATGTGATATTTTCCACATAAAATAAAAAGTTGTGTAAGAAAGCACATCGTACTTTTGGAATCAGCATTGTCCTGTACAAAAAACAAACAAAAAAAAACGACATCATACAGATTAATTTGTATACAAGTTCCAAACAACCTAGAACTGAAATTGGGGAGGGTAACAATGGTCTTGAATTTCCTCCATTTGTACATCTGTCTGAACGTGGATTTGTGGAGTCCAAACTCTTTAGAGATGGCTTTGAAACCTTTTCCAACCTGATGAGCAACATCCACTCTTTTTCTGAGGTCCTCAGAGATCTCCTTTGTTCGTGCCATGATTCACTTCCACAAACATGACCAAATATTGATAGATCCCTGTTCTTTAAATAAAACATGGCAGGCAATGACACCTGATAGTCATTTCACTGAATGAAAGCACCTCTGAACAGATGGACTCTTAATTTCACCTTCAAATTAACTGCTGATCCTAGAGATTCACATACTTTTGCACCGCACAGATATGTAACACTGGATACATTTTCTCAAATAAATGAAAGAAAATATTTTTGTCTCATTTGTTTGATTGGGTTATCTTTGTCTATTTTCAGGGTGTGAAAATCTGATTATGTTTTGAGTCATATTTATGCAGAAATATAGAAAATTCTAAAGGGTTCACAAACTTTCAAACAGCACTGTATATATATATATATAAATTACTGCAAATAATGATTTTAATGATGAATGTTTTTACGAACATTATACATAATATAAAATGTATGTGTATACACACACACACACACACACATATATATTAGTGCTGTCAAACGATTAGCATCCAAAATAAGTTTTTGTTTACATGTTTGTGTACTGTGTATATTTATGTATATATAAATACAAACATGCATGCATATATTTAAGAAAAATATGTAATATATTTTAAATCTATTTATATATATGTACATGTAAATATTTTCAAAATATATGCTGTATGTGTGTGCTTTTATATATACATAAATATACACGGTACACATGTGAACAGAAACTTTTATTTTGAATGTGATTAATCGCGATTAATCATTTGACATCACTAATATATATATACATATATATGTGTGTGCGTGTGTGTGTATAAATATGTGATGTCACAATGTTAATGGGGTAGGGTGGTTAATTATACAACCTCTATAAAAAAAATGAGTCAGGAAAACTTTTGAGAAAATTGTTTATTCCCATAGTCAATGAATTTCATCGATATTTGGGACACTTCACAATAGAGAACTGGACTATGATGATAAGTCACAGATAAATCATCTCAGTCTTTTTCTTTCTGAGGTTTAATATTAATAGCACAAATGAAAATTTTTATTTCTTTCATTTGAGTTTGTTTAAAAAAAAAAAAAAAAGAACATAACACCAACTTTGGCTATTATAATTAATGTCCATATTGATATTTTTGGCCAAGCTCTAAAACAAACCAGTCTCGTGTTTTAGCCAAGGTGTCCATGGCACTAAAATCTGCATATTAAATGTCAGAATAGGGAATGCCTCAAGACTAGTTTGAACAGTGGTGGAAAATGAACTTTTCTTCTCATCTCAAGCCTGGATTGCACTTTTGGTGCTGTAGGCCAGGTAGTAGACCATAATGCCAATCAGAGCAGCCAAGATCTCCGTGGACACCCAGGGACCATTCCATGCACCCTGCAATTCATAAATACACTGATTAATAAACATACAGAGACAAATCATACAAAAGCATAGAAAGTAAACAAGTAGTAGCAACACATTCCAATGTGGAGGTATATTTTTGTTAATATAGGTTTACAGGTTTTTCTTAGACCTAATCATTACACAGATAAGGCGATTGTTGACAATGAAGATTAGTATGCATATTTACCCTGTGATCCACATTGACAGAGAACAAAGGCTTGATGGCATCAACATCTTCATTGTTTCTCTGAGCCTGAAAGCATTAACATTTTTATCAGCACCGTTGAATATACAGTCCCATCAATTATGTTAAATGGATATTGCACCCAAAAAAAAACAAACTGTCATTATTTACTCACCCAGACATGTACTCATTTCTTTCTTATGAAGAACCCAAAAAACTATATCTTTAAGAACACTGGTAACCAAACTGTATTGGTGCTTATTAAGTTAAGGCATTCTTCATAATATCTTCTTTTATGCTTCACAGAAGCAAGTAGGTCATGTAGGTTTGGAATGACATGTGGGTGAGCAAATGACATAACTTTTTATAAATTTATGGGGGAATTACCCCAATCATTCCTTAAATTGACCAACCTTTCTTAGAGTACTGTAAGACTCCTCGTCAAAGAATTTGACCTGATATGTGCCTGAGCTGGCCTGCTTATGAGGAACACTCCATGAGACCTGGACAAAAATAAATCAATAGAACAGTTTGTCACATATGTTGAAGAATCTTACATGTATGGCTTTGTTAGAACACCATAAAGGGATAGTTCACATAAAAATGAAAATACCGTCATCATTTAACTCACCCTCAAGTTGTTCCAAATCTGTATGAATTTCTAAAGTTATTTTGCAGAATGTCAATACCCATACAGTTGAAGGTGACCGTTATGGAAAAAATACTATGGAAGTCAACCGCTACCATCAACTGTTTGGTTACCAACATTCTTCAAACTTTATTCTTTTGTGTTCAGGAGACCAAAGAAGCTCATACAGGTTTGAAACAAGTGGAACAAATTATGACTACATTTTCTTTTTTGGGTAACTATCCCTTTAAATCCTCTAACCTTACCTGGTATTTGCCAACATCTTGGCCTCTGGTCACAGGAAACTGCTTGCCATTGACGTCTGCATAAAGAGCAACACTCTAAACACAAAACACAAGTCTGGTCAGTCCACACTTCTGTACCAATAAAGCGTGTATATATGTACCTTTTAGTCCACTCACCTGAGCTCCGTTTGCACACGCCAGACTCAACTCAACGATGAAGACGGTCTCGGAGGAGATGAGCGCGTCTGTCGTCGTGTATGAAGACGGAGAAATGGCTGGGTCTGTGCAAGTCTCAGCTGAGGAGAGAAAACACCGGTCACACTACTGTCCTTACGAATAACAGGTCACATGTCAAGTTTGGTCCCTGACTTAATTAAACCATAAATGTTTCTAACAGATAGCGGTGATAAAAACGGAACCAATTCAATGTAGCTTGAGACATCTCGATGTTAGCCTGTCTGACGATAAGCGAAAAGACTGAAAGCCGAGAATGAATGATGTTGTATATCGAACGTTAATTAAAAATTACCTGCACAAAGGCTCAGACAAAGAGCCAAAATCGCTGTTATAACTCGCATCATGTTGATCCCTAGGCAGCTGAATCCACCTCTACTCACTCAAACCTGAGGAAAAAGAGCAGCGGCGCTAGACAGACACGTCACCTCAACGGAAGACTGGCGCGTCTGCTAGCGAGTGCGCCTCTGGCGAAAGCCGCCGGTACTGCAGAGCAAAGGCTCACAAACAGGGGCCGCAGCAGGCTTCCAAGAGATGTGAAGCGATTATTTAATATAATTGTAATTGATGTTAATATTATTATTAATACATCTAAATAATCGCACTTAAATAAAATGCTAAAAAAACACATACAAATAGTTTTTACTATTAATATATTTTTTCCTATTAAACCAAATAAAAAGTGTTGGCAAATGAGGGGCCTTGACGTAAAAACAGCATGAGAACCACTGGTGTAGAAACTATTTGAAAAGTTTGGAAGACATTCCAAAAGTAGCTGTAATCTCCGGGAAGAGGATAGAAATTTTAAGATGCATTTTGTAATTGCTAATGATTGCCACATCTGCATGATTTTCCACATCCCATTATTAATACTTTTAACCAACTGGTCAAGGGGATTTTTTATTAAATGTATTATGCATTGTTGTATTATTGCAATGTAATAAATATTTAATCTTTTTTAATTCAATTAATATATATATATACATATATACATATACATATATACATATATACATATACATATATACATATATACATATACATATATACACATACACATATACACATATATACACATATACATATACACATATATATACACATACATATATATATATATATATATATATATATATATATATATATATATATATATATATATATATATATATATATATATATATATATATATATATATATATATATATATATATATATATATATATATATATATATATATATATATATATATATATATATATATATATATATATATATATATATATATATATATATATATATATATATATATATATATATATATATATATATATATATATATATATATATATATATATATATATATATATATATATATATATATATATATATATATATATATATATATATATATATATATATATATATATATATATATATATATATATATATATATATATATATATATATATATATATATATATATATATATATATATATATATATATATATATATATATATATATATATATATATATATATATATATATATATATATATATATATATATATATATATATATATATATATATATATATATATATATATATATATATATATATATATATATATATATATATATATA